GGCCACTCGGGACCCGACGGCGTCGCGGAAGGAGAGGCCGGCGCTGGGGAGCAGCTGAGGAAGCGTGTGCGACGGCCTCCCGGCCTGGGGCAAGTGCCACATACCCCGGATTCTGTGCAGACCGCCCAGCAGTCTGCTAGGACCTTTGCCTCAGTTAGCGAGTGAGCGAAAGAAGGGTAGTTCAGCGATTAAATCTGATACCCTTGCCCCTTCCTGTTGCTAGAATTTGGTTGTATTTCTGCTTTTTGTTGCATTTTTGCCATTTCGTTGTCTGTTTCTTCAAGTTCTGCTTGGGCAAAACTGCATTCCCCCCGCGTCTTTTTTTTTTTTTTTTTTTTTAGAAACTTTGCCTTTGAAAAAAGAATATTGCTAGACAGCATGAATTCTTTACACTAAGTATTCTTACCTGTAGATATATGTATAAGATTTCACGCGTTCCTCTTCCTGTGTTTCGGTAATTATATTCTAAATTCTCATACTTAGGCTGGAGAACATTTTAACCATTTGCTCTTGATACAAGCTATGAAGAGTTTCTGAGCATAGCATCGCCAAGTTCATTGTAATATTCAGATTCTTGAAATATTGATTTTGCGGGGAGGGGGCATACTGGGGATGAACTCAGGACCTTGAGCTTGTGAGGCAGACACCCGCCACTGACCTAAATCCCTGACCCTGTATGAGGTTTTTAGGAGAAAGCAAGGTGGGGACAACGCTGAGATGAAGAAATAATTTTTAGCATGGAGGATCAGAGGATTCTTTGGCTTTTAGGATGAGTTTTTTTTTTTTTTTAGTTGGCCAGCATTCTGGTATATGTCTATTATCCCAGAACTCTAGGAGACTAGAGCAAGATTGCAAGTTCAGTTCAGCCTGAGCAGTTTAGCAGTTTAGCAAGAAAGACACTGTCTCAGATTTAAAAAAAAAAAAAAAAAAAAAAAAAAAAAAAAAGGTCTTGGGGGGTGTAGCTCATTGTGAAGATATTGGGCCAATCCCAAGTGCTGGAAAAATAGGCTAGACCGAAGGAATTGAAGTGAAATATGCTCTGGAACAAAGGCAGGCAGGATAGTCCAAGAAGCAGTGGAATCTGGGCTTGTGCCTTGCAGGCCTGAAGAGACTCCGGTAGAGACAGACCCTGGAGGTGGCATTTTCTAAACCGGAACAAGATGAGAAATGTCACTGTTAAAGATTCACTGGGTAAGCCGGGCATGGTGGTGCACGCCTGTAATCCCAGCACTCAGGAGGCTGAGACAGGAGGATCGCTCTGAGTTCGAGACCAGCCTGGGCTACACAGTGAGTTCCAGGTCAGTCTCAAAAAAAAAAAAAAAATCAGTGTTGCTAAGTAGGAAATAAATGCAGCCAAGAGCACAAGAATGTAGAAGAAATGCTCCTTAGCCTGGCAAACTAGTACTGTTTGATTAAGAAGACTATGGATGTTGATTGAAACTCCCAGTGCTCTCATTATTTGAACCTTCTTGTGCCCTGATGGACCCCTTGAGCCTTGGGTTATGACCGCTGGTCTAAATAAGAGTTAACAAGTGGGGAGGTGAGCAGCATGGAAGGGGAAGCAACAATTGCCAGGGAAAGAGAGAATGGAATTGAAATGACTTAGGTTCAGAATAGACTAGCCAGGGCTGGGGATTTAGCTCAGTGGTTCTACCTCCTGCCTCATAAGTGCAAGATCCTGAGTTCAATCCCTGGTACCAAAAAAAAAGAATAGACAAGCTGGTAAGGGCTGGGGAAAGGCATCAGCAGAATAGAGAAGACTGGGAGTGGTAAGGAAACTATAACACCTGCTGCCATCCTATACCCACCAGATGAGACTTGGAGTACCCTGAAAATGTCGTTACTGTGTACCTGACACTGTTGTCAATCATGCTGCATGAATTAATTTTTATTTCTCAGCGACCTTATGAAATATGATTTCTTTTACCTCCATTTACAGAAGTCACTGAAGCACAGAAGCGTTAAGTAGCAGGCCCAAGGTCACACAGCTGATAAGTGTTACAGCCAGAGTGCAGATCCCTGAAGTTTGATTCCAGAGCTGGCCCTCCGTTGTAAGAAACAGATAAATTATTCAGAGGACAAGAAGGCAGGTTCACTTTGGCTATCTTGAGTTAAGATGCTTGCAGGAATACCAGGTGTCCTTCTGGGCTAGACTAGGCCTCCTGGACTCAGGCCAAGTGGCCTGGTCATTGTAGTAAAGGTGGTCACATGAGACTCAAGGATCGGAGTCTTGTCTTATGATTTGTCTTGTCTTCCCCTCTGGGCCAAGTGATTGCATTTATCTTTGCAGATTTCCAACATGAACTGGGAAATGTCAAACAAAGCCTAATATCCTGTAGCTTTTGCAAGGCTCTCCTCTATTGTCCTTTGACACAGAGCAGTGGATTTGAGCTTGATTTCAGGACCGAGCCTTGAGGGACATATGTCTGTTTGCAGGAAGAGGTATCATGTTGACTTGCCCCCAAAACAGGACATATTTTTCAAGGGTTCACCTGAAGGGATGGAGAAAAAGTAGAATATATGGTGCTTGTACTCCAGAAATTTAATCTCCTACATGGGGAGATGAGAGTAACAGTTATATGACAAAAGCAAATAAAATGGGTAGGTTTATAGTTCAGTACTACATGGTGTGAGTCATATTTCAGTATAGTGGGCACTGGGTTTTTTAATGTACCCATGATATCAGAAATATAACATATCCTGTTGATAGCCTATAGATATCACAGTATTTTTTGTATGACCACTATCTTTAGTATAGTTGTCACAAAATGCTAATTATCATTTATGTTTATCTTTGATTGTTAGACACTGCATATGTGGCTTCAGCTTGGGTTGGTGTCTTATATCTTATAACTCAAAAAGCAATAATATGGCTATAATTATGGAGAGGCAGAGCAGCCTATTGAATCCAGGCTCTTACCCAGTGTGCTGTGTTCCCACTGTTTACCTTGGCTAAGTCCTCTGCACTGACTGGACAGGTTCACTCTGCAGGTGAAGGGATTAGTATGGGGGTTGGCTCTACACGGGAAGCACGTGGCTGAGAAGTCATCATCCACCTACTGTCTCGACGTTTCACTCACTCATCTACACAGTCCTCACTCATGACTGGAACACTAGGTATCAAGCAGAGGGCTCAAAGCAGGAAAAGAAAAGGCAAATCAAACACTTCCCGTCCTCTCTCAGGACTTGCTGAGGTGGAGGAGAGTTGAATGTGGTTTACATGGTTTATTAGAATCAGGAAAACTTGGCAGAACTTGGCACAATTAGAATATGAAAGAATTGTCAGGTAAATCTGATAGGTATATAAATCATGATGAAATCTTAGGATTTTTAAGTACTAGTTTTTTTGTTTTGTTTTGTTTTTTTAATACTGGGGATTGAACTCAGGACCTTGCGCTCGCAAAGCAGGCAGCAGAACCACTGAGCTAAACCACCAGCCCTTAAGTACTAGTTTTAAGTGCTGATTTTAGGTAAGACTCTAGCTTAAAAGAATAAAGATAGAAAAATATCTTTTTGCCATATTTTAATTTTTCTGGCAAATTTTAGTTTAAGTAATTTTTTTATAGTATTTGACTTACTTGAGTTAAGTTGCAGTTCTTTCTTGGGTCTGTTATAACTACTCTGAGGTTTAGGGCTCCCTCACTTATCTTGTAGTTAAAACTAGAGGCCTTCCAGATAGTATTTTCCTAGGTCCACCCTCTCCTTGTTCTTAAAGTTGGTCCCTGATAGAATTAAACTCTAAAATTTCACAATGCGTGTTTGTGTTTTTGTAAGCATATTTTATGGTTCTAAGGTAAATGGACTTTGCTTGGGAGTTTGATCATTACTTGACATTTCTTGAAAAGAGAAATGACACTATGTTTTCCAGACTTTTCAGCAGATCAATGGCCTCCTGGAAGAAGAAACTTCAGGGCCTTGTTGCTGCCACCCTCACGCCAATGACTGAGAATGGGTAACTATCACTTAGGGCCATAAAGGGATCTGTTCTTGACAAGGATAGAAGCTCTCTATGATGACATTCTCTTAGGCTCTACTTATATGAAATATTCGTGCCAAATGGCAGCTTCTGTGACTCATCCTGCACTCTCTGAACTCTAAGTCAGAGAAGAATTCTCTGTATCTGCCTTTCTCCAGTGCCTATAGCTCCATAAAGCAAATTCTTCTGGGATTTCACCATCGCCCTGGTTTTCCCAATAGGGCTAGTATATTGGATGAGGAGAATCCCATTTTAGTACGATTTCATATCAAGCACTCTCCTGGCCCCACTAGAGAGCCAGACTTCTGCATGATTCAGCCATCTTGTTCACAGACTTGACAAAAATAGACTCTGCAGAAAGTGGTAGAGTATCCACAAAATGGACCCCTCGTGCATGTTTCTAATGTTATTTCAACACTGATTAAATGTTAGGACATGAGGGACAGAAAGGAGCAGAGGAAACGGCAGGTGACTATTGAATAATCATTACACGTGCCTCTGGACTTGCAGATGAATGCTGTGACAATCCCCTTCTTTGATCGGGGAGTGGTCCTGTGCCGTAAGTGGCCATGTGCTATATATATAAAACTCCTCCTTGGACAGTGCCACAAGAAGGGTATTCCTCTGCCTCCTGGGTCTAAGTGGTTTTGAACTGTCAGTGGCATCAAACTGCCAAAATAGTCAGAATGCTGGATTTTCCAAACTTCTCATTTCTTCCTGTGTAAATAGTAGTATTTAACCTACATCCTAGAATTATGAGCATTAACACAAGTGTGCTTAGCACAGGGTCAAAATGTTTGAACTGTTACGACATTAGACAAGGGGAAGAGGAAGATAAGCTGTTTAAAGTATCTTTTAAAAGACTTTTCTTTTCCATGCGCTATTGCTGAATTTGTAAACCTTACCTCTTTAAAATAGATGGTTTATCTCAGTGGTTCTGCCACCAGCCTCACAAGCACAAGGTCCAGATGCCAAAAAGAAGATGTGGGAGGATTAAAAGAACAATGATTTTAGGGCCATGGATTTAGCTTAGTGCTGCTCCTTCCTGCCTTTCAAGCACATGGATGGACCCAAGTTCGATCCCTGGTACCAAAAAAAAAAAGATGGGCCAAGCATGGTGTCACATGTCTGTAGTCTAGCACTCAAGAGGCTGAGGCAGGATGATCACCTCGAGTTTGAGGCTAGCCTGAACTACACTATAAGACCTTGTCTCCAAAAAAAAAAAAAGATGAAATTTCTTAGAATTTGGGCCAGGGATTTAGCTCAGTGGTGCCGCCGCCTACCTTACAAGTGCAAGGTCCCAAGTTTGATCCGCACTACCAAAAAAAAAGAAATTTCTTAGACCTTTTAGTATTCTCATTTAAAGTTGGCCACCTCACAATTCTTCCATACGTTGTTAGAGTATTAGACTTCTAGTTTCCATGATTCATGAAAAGTCCCATCATACGTAGATCTAACTTGCTGAGATGGCATTTAGATTACTCAGCTGGTTAAAAATTGTTTTTCTGTTACTTTTCCCTTTCCGCAAGTTCTGAGAAACAGTGAAATCAGCTTTTTCTCAATGCATAAAGCAGAGGCATGTGACTTCATGAACAGGCAGGATTTACTTCCTGTCACAGCAAAATCCTGTCTGTAAACTCAGCACACTCTATCTAGTCCATGCCACTTTAACCTTTGAATAAGACCTCTCAGCCTGGAAGTAGCTCCTTAAAGCAGTCTACTTGTTAATCTGGGGCACACTGAGAATGTAAATGTGTTCTTCCTCTTTGTTCTGCTTTCCTGGAAACCGGGCCTTGTGTATTACAAATAGCTCAAAGGGCTTTGCTTTCTTAGATTCTTTTTTGCTTCCCTAAATCCTCTAATCCTGCTGCCTCTATGTCACTGTTTCCTCTTTTTTTGTTCTCATTTGCTCTTTCAGGAGCATGGCTTTCCTAAGGTATGAAATCAAAATAAGAACGTGTAATTTGTAGGGGCCTTCTAGGAATTAAACAGTCTATGTCAGCATGTAGCACATGACAGGTATGTGAGCTGTTAGCTCCTTTCTCTCATCTGCTCCAACAAATATTCCTAGCCAGGTGTGGTGGCACATGTCTGTAATCCCAGCTATTCAGGAGGCTGAAGCAGGAAGATTGAAAATGCAAGGCCAGCCTGGGCAACTTAGTGAGACTCTATCCCAAAACAGAAATCAAAAAGGGCTTGAAACGTGGCTCAGTGCTTCTTTAGGTCAATCCCCAGTTCTGCAAAAAACAAAAGTTTTTATCTGTACAAAACAGGAGGGCACAGGTAAGCATTAACCTGTTAGACTACAAGAGACCAGACAGAAATAAGGGGCACATAGACTATCATAACTGGAAATACTGCTGGTTGATGTACCATTGTGAGAGCATTCCTAACATTGTTTATTAAGAAAACCCAAAATAAAGAAAGAAAAGAAAACCCAGCTTCCATAACTCCTGAACACAGTATTTTCCCAAATCCTTTTTTTCTTGTTAATTTCAAAGAATACTTACCAATGGTTCTGCTTTCTTAATATAAGTTGATGTTTCAGAATAGGGAAGTTGGCAGGAAAAAAACATTAGTAAATAAATTTTAGTTAAGGTGTATGGGCCTTTGATCCCAAGCTTTGCCACCAACAACCTGTGTTATCCATCAAGAGCTTTCATATTCTGTAAAGAGAGGACCACCCCATTGTCTCTAGGTCCCTTTCTGTTTCTGTTTTTTGTTGTTGTTTTTTTGGTACCAGGGATCAAACTCATGTTCTTGCACTTGTGAGGCAGGTGGCACAACCACTGAGCTAGATCCCCAGCCCACTAGGACCCATTCTAACTCTGAGAGACTGCAGTCCTCCGCCATTGTGTTGTTAGCTGTACAGATAATAAAATTGTATAAAGTACATGCAACACAGTCTGTCTTGCACCCTGCATCACGGAGCACAGTAAACAGATCTGCTCATGTCACTCTCTTCAGGGAGCACTGTTAATTCTGCTTTGTTGAAGCCTTACTACTCTGTATGATCCATGGAGCAGGTACTTGAATATCGCCCAAGGACTTTGCAGGAATACAGGATCTCAGACCAACCACATACTACTGAATCAGAACCTGCATCTTAATAGTGGCCCCAGATGATTCTTTAGCACATTAAAGTCTAAAATGAACTGGTCTAAAGATTAACACCCAGGATCCCTGGGGTGGCATGGGAAATCCTTCATAATCTGCCTTTCATTTCTGTTGCTTCATCTCTGTTTCTGCAGTGCCCTTTCTTACCCTCCAAAAGGCAGTTGCCTTTATGCATTCTGTTTCATCTGCCTTTTCCACCACCCCATCTCCTCTCTCTATTTGAACATTTCTATTTACCTATCAAACCACTAAAGTGCTGAAAGGAATTATTCTCCCCCTCTAAAGGCCCTTATAGACAGATTATAAGGCCATAAGCATACAAGTATATTTAACAAGAACTTGTACCAAGGAGCCATACATAATACACAATCCAAGAAAGGACCAGGTGCTTGAGACTTAAATATCCTCCTCATAGGCGGGCAGTAGGGCTCCAGGTACTTCTATAAGGGAGCAAATGATTTTCAGGAGAAATGAATGGGCCCAAAGAGTAGATGATAGTTTGAAAAGAATTTTTTTTTTTTATCCTGGAAGCTAAATGAGACCAAAGAATAGACAGTAGCTGTGACAAAGTGTCTAGGGTAGTGACATGCCCAGTCTTTCTTCCTGTGATGGGAGTTTAAACTTCCCTGGTCAATAAAGTTTAAGGAGGCATAGGGACAGGAAATATGTTCCTTCTGGAGTCTAGAGGGGCTTTCCCTAAGGAAACTTTAGAGAATGCATTCAACCCTGTGCATAGGGAAGAGACAGGAAAAGACTAGAAAGTCCTTGCTTCTGAGACTGTTTCTTTCTCTCTCTTTTTTTTTTTTTTTTTTTTTCTGGGGGTTGA